TATTTATTTAGTGTGTTTCGGCACCCAAAAAACCAACCGACATACTCAATGGTAAACATTGAACACCGTTCTATTTTATTTTTGGCAGTCGAAAAAAGGGGATAAAGTTTGTATTCCACAGAAAATCGGTAGACATTGATTATGTGTATTTTGACAAGGATTCCGTAAAAAAAGTCATGTTTGGTAAATAGACTGGCAATAAATGCACATTTTGCACTGACTCACTTTTTACATCTTTAAAAAAAGACAGAGTCTTATGGTCTCTGTGAAAAAGTAGCATATTTGCGATAAAAATCTGAGCTCCTTTGATATACCGAAAATATCATTGGAATCAATCGAAAGGAAGAAAAAAATCTGTGTTGATTTTGGATTGAATGGAATTATTGCTCATTTTACTGTGAAATAAATAAGGTTGGCTGCCATTTTCTGGAAAGCTATTTGGATATTGTCATATTTGCACGGCAAAAAACCAATAAAACCGTTTACACTTCAAAGATCTTGGTGGATGAGAACAAAAATATTTTGCTGTGCTCGATTTCGGTTCGTTGAATTCCACTTAACTTACCTATCGATTCAATTCATCAAAACAATAATCAAGCCGGTGCAAAAGGAAAGGTAAAATTGTAGAAGTGCGATTGAACGCCGTGGGATACCATACACTCTCTTCCTATCGCAGTCAAACCGTTTTTCTTCTTCCGCATCTTTCACCGTAAAATATGGTACGAATCTCTATGGACACCGTAGCGACATTTTCCAGAGATTTTCTGCAATGAACGTCTGTTAAGGTAATAGTCATTGAGGTAAGTATGATGTGTGCAAACACTAACAGCATGTTCGGAACTCGCACAGTACATCCCTAGCGAAGTATAGAGTTTGCATTTGCAAAGCATACAGTTTCAGTTAAACTATCGACATATTCGAATCCACTTTGGTAATAAAATTATACAACTTTTCGCTGGAAAACGCAGTTGGGCCAAATGAACGAATTGGACATGCCGTATGAAAAAAAAGTGACTCCTTTCCATTTTTACTTCTCATTCATACTTTTTCTACTATTGTGGCTGCTGCTGTTGTACGTCACAATGACCATTTTCTATACACACGTTTTTGTTTGGTCAGTTCGGTGTGCATTTTCGTTTATGGCTTTAGGTAGTTGAAATACCTGGATTTCACGTGAAATTTTTCTCTTTCACAATTACCCGACTTGTATGGTAAGAGCACTTTGACGAAAATGACGAAATTCATAACCTTTATCTTTGCTGCAAAGAAATGCGCCCAATGAAATTGTTTACATAAAAATCAACGGATTGAAATTGAGATGTGACGAAAACAATTTTGGTATAAGCATGGACAAAACTCGTTTAAGTGACTTAAAAGCCAATTTTCATCCGTCTATAAATACTTACGGTTTGACTCAAACATTGAATATTGATGCACTTTTCGAGCATATTTCAAACGGGATCTCTCACTTAGTTGAAAAAGCATACGCGGTTAATTCTCACTTATTTTTATTTCTTATTTTTCTTCTTTTAACGAATCAAACAGCTGCTGTTATCCCGTTTTTAGTGCGTTTACGTTCAGCACTTGTCTTTTTATTTTCGTTAGACGTGACTGATGTGGATGTATTGCCATGTCGAATCGACAGACAACTGGATAACAATTAACCGTTTCGCTGTCTTCACATTTGAACGCATCATTTGAATGTGTCTCAACAGTAAAATGACATGTCTTTCATTCGAAAATGGTATTTCAAACGCAAATGGATATGCATCCCGACGATTGTATGTAAAGTAAAAAAAAATTGAATGAGGCACTTTAAATGTTCACATCACTTTTGTTTTTAAAAATTGACGCGCGTGTAAAACAAAAACAAAAAGGGTTCTTGTTAGCAATTTCAAGCGTGAATAGTCGAATTTATTCGACCATAACTTGTTATGCATAAAAAAGGGAAATCGATTGAAATTGGTTGGCTTTGAGTGGTGAAACTTGTGTGTATTCTGCGTTCTACCTCAAAAATAATTAAAAATTACCAATAACTTTCTGAACGGTTTGTGCATACGTGATAACGGTCAACCTTCTACCAGTAAATTGAGCAGCTAACCATTTGTTCGGCGTATTGTTTGTGCGGGCGCTCATCCGGCGACTCTCACACGTTGCAACAAAAACAAAAATTAATTACAAAAGAAAAACCGAACCACTTATTTATTTCATTGATATATTAATAATAGTCGTGGCCACTGATGGAACGACCAAATACTCCAACGTCTAATCACTCAATTTTCGAAGCGGACTACCAACATTCAATTTTTATTATTTATGGCGTTTCTTTTATTATAACGCATTGTTCGCTGTGGCCGCACAGTTTGAATCAATCGGTTCTTTTTTTTATTCTATTCATTTTTATTCGGACAATAGAGAAAAATGGACCTTCAAAAATTAAATTGTTCCGGTTTCATGAGTTTTCGATTCAATGATGGAAACAAAATGGAAATTTATGCACTTTTACTCATCAATTTTTATTACTTTATTAGTTGTTATTTCGGATCAACATGCTCACCGCTGCTCGGCGATCTTATTCAACCAGGCGTCAGGTATGTGAAAAAAAAGAAAACCATTCGAATGCATTTTTGTAGGAAATGTGTTACACCAACAAATGGTGGTTTCGCTTCTTTTATTTCCTTTTCGATTGACCTAATTCACCGATCAAAAACATTCATAGTCGATTTTTTCCATATTATTAACATTTTGATATGCGTCGATAATTGACTAATCGATATATTGGAACGAGTTGATTCAATCAAAAGATCGCACACGATGACCATTTGAATAGAAAGTCTTGCTCGTTATTTATTCTAAATTTCACTTTTGACATAATGTATCTCAAAAATGTTTCTCTCTACGTTTCAACAAAAAGAAATTATAAAACCTGTGGAAAATATCATTTTTATGACGAAAAATTGGTACTTTAATTCTGTGGAATGATGAAAAGGGTTTTTTTCATGTTGTTTAATGAATATTTTCACACGCCACTTGAAATTTCTCTGTGTTTGGTGTCACTTACTGACTGATATGCTATGGATTATGATAGGTGGTCCATCATCTGGTGCATGGCTTTGAAATTGTGGATGAAACGAAAGAAGAGAAACACATTGAGGATGAGCATATTCATCACTTGACCACACCAGATGCTGAAAAGTGTTCCATTCCACAAAGTCATCATGATATTTCCGTTTTCAGTTGCTATTCAAAAAATGCCAAATGTGACCAAATTATGACAATGTTGAATTTTTGGTCAGCACCAACAATATTTTCATTTATAAAAGAGAAAAACATTCAATATTCAATGATTATGATCTTGTATTGTATGAAAACAATTCACAAGTGGATACGAAATATTTTGGCATCGAATGCATGCAATTTTTTTTCATTGTATATGCCATGAATTTTTAAAGAAAATTTGATGGTGATTAATGATGTCCGTATTCCATTGAGGCGATTTTTTTCGTTTATTGCACATCCTTTTGCAATTGTAATAATGATAATTGTGAAAAATGCTATGATGAATGCCATCAACGGGATAATTTATTATATTGCACGCATACCACATGTCGTGCCATTTTACAAAACGAATTCACTTTTTAAATTGTTGCAAACATTTCCATTTTGAAAACCGTTTTCTCGATCGAATTTCGATTAGAATCGATTGAAATTCTGTCATTTTTCATTCACTAATGATCGATGTCAAAATTCCATTTCCCGTTTGAATGTCGAAAGTGAAAGCAACTGATTAAATTGCTAATTTACGGACACTTTCTAATTAAAACGTGTCAAAAAAAATCGTATCAATTATTACCTCGTTGAGTTTTCAATGAAAATGTAATCATTCAGCTATTTAAAAAAAAGCGAACCATTTGTTGAATTCAATTTCCAATGAATCGAAAATATTTATCGAGATGTGCCCCCGGATCAAAAACCGGTATTGGTATAAACACGGAGTGAAAAAAAAAAACAAAAGCGGTCTATTGAGAATGGGCAAAATTAAGAAGGAGGAAAACACAATAACGAGCCCGAATCCAATCCTTTCCGCATCTAATTCGTTGCCAAATCCAAATAAAGTGTCGTGCAATGCTATTGTTCTATGTTTTTCCAATGTGTCAACAATTTCTAATGTACGAAACGACAATAATAATCGAAGGCGAACTGAATAGCACAAAATATATATATAGCGAAACGATAACAATAAAAGTCAACTGGTAGTAAGTGCAGATTTACACAGTTCTACCGAATGTGTGTTGAAGTGAAGATAAAAACAAAAATGCGAAGAGTGATCGCTGAAGTCGTAATAACAAATACATTCGGGTGCGTGCAATTCAAAATGAAATGAATTGTTTGTCACAAAAGACCGAGACCGAGACCGAGAGATGACTTTATTTTTTCCAACATTTACTTTTTTTTCGTTTGACGTCCTGCTGTTTCGGAATACCAACAAAATCCATTGTTCACTTTTTTCGGTCGCATTGTTATGGCATGACATTTTTGGAATGAAAGCGAATTTCGTACGGAGAAAAATTATGGAAAAATTATGTTTCGCTCGAAACATTGTGTTCAGTTTCGATTGAAAAATGAACGTGTAGATGCTGACTGATGAAGAAGCCAAATATTGTTGCCGACTTTTCGGTCATGATATATACCATTAGTTTGAAATGTAAACAACAAATAAAACACAAATATTAAATGTACGAATTGAATTTATTTTTTGTTGTTGAATAATTACGATTGAGTACACACTAAAAACAGTAGTAGTAGAATTGTTCAAATGTATTGGTATATTGCAAATTTACCAATAGTTGTCAAAATATCTATTGGTATTTTCATACAAGCGTCACTACAGCAGCGCAGTTGACATTTGGTCCATCGCGCCAAAACAAGTGTCAACTATGCTGTTGTAGTGACGATTGTATGAAAATACCAATAGATATTTTAACAACTATTGGTAAATTTGCAATATACCAATACATTTGAACAATTCTACTACTACTGTTTTGTGTGTGTACGATGGTAGCCAAGAAATGTTCAATATTTTTTATTCATTAATATTTTTAATTATGATTGTTAGTAAGATCGTCTTAGTTTTCTTCTGTTTTATCCTTTAGTTCTTCGGTTTGTTCTTTTTCCTCTTCTTTGGCTTTCTCGACTTTTTCCTTTTCTTCATCACCACGCTTGAGTATATCGATGATGGCACCTAATTGAAGACTTCAATTAAACATTTTTGTAAATCGTAAAATTTTAATAAAAGAAATCACCTTTCTCAATCGCCACATTTGTTTTTTCATCTTTGTCTTTGACATCGAAGCCCTTTCCAACTAGTATTTCAACAATCTTCCCGAAACCTGAAGTGAATACATTTCAGTCGATTTTGTCGAATATCTAATATTAAAAATATTGGGTACCTTTTTCCACAGCAATATCTTTTTATGCACATATTTTACGCGAATTTAATGAAATTGTGCAATTACATGGACGGATGGTCGAAATAAAATCAAATTATTTCCGGTTTTTCAGTCGCACACATATTGATACTCACCAAGTGCAGTTTTTCCATTCTTAGCTTTGCGATTAAGTTCGGCTCCGTTCTCTACTAGAAGTTGTACAATTTCCTCTCGACCTAATCAAATGATTCATTAGTTTATATTTTTACATTTTCAATATCCCTCAATTTCAACCTATGAGAGTTGCGATCATCAGTGCAGTTTCGTTGTCTTTGTTAATAATATTTACATCAGCGCCGTTTCGTAAGAGATGTTTCACTGTTTTCAGATCACCTGTAAAAAATAAGATCATGAATAAAACGGTTGAAGTAATGATTAAAAATGTACCCAAAAATGTGGATGAATGAAGAATTGCTGTTCCGTTGTTATCTTTTGCGTTAATATCGATTTCCCCGTTTTTCACCAATTGCTCAATTACTTTTTCATCGCCTAAATATGGATTTTTTTTATTTTTCTATACGATTATGAAGTGATATGTTTGCGAAATAAAATGAGTTTGAATGAAATCGAAATATTACCAGAGGATGCTGCATACATTAACGGAGACCATCCGTTTTGATCTTTAACATCAACTTCAGCCCCTTCACGAATAAGAATTTCAATGATTCGATTGAATCCTGACTGAGCAGCATAATGAGCAGCTGTTCGTCTGCTATTATCCTTAACCTTAACGTCTGCTCCATTTTCAATCAGCACCGTAACCACTTTCTCCAGAGCTTCAAAGAATAATGCAAGTGAATTTTGATGCTTATAATCAAAACCAAAAGAAAGTAAGTGATTAAAATAGTTTTGTATTAAAATCACCTTTCTCGGCAGCTAAGTGAAATGGAGTCCTCCTTCCATTGAATGGATTCACCTCAACTTTGGGACTGAAAATGATGAGCTTATCCATGATCTTTTCCAAACCTACAAAATAATGTCTGTTAATTGGGGATATCTTTGTAATCCATAATTTGGTACCAAAATCGGCAGCGGCCATTATTGGTGTTAATCCCTCAAAATTTTGTGAATTCACTTCAGCTCCACTTTCAATAAGCATTTTTACGATATTCGAATGTCCTTTTAATCAAAATTTAATCGGTGATATCAGTGCATAATGAAATAAAACAATAACAGTAAGTTAAATTAAATACCACAAGCAGATGCCACGTGTAATGGTGACCAGCCATTATTGTCGGAGAGTGATACATTTGCACCTTTTTGTATAAGAACTTCAGCAATGTCTGCCTGGCCTGATAAAATAACAAAAATTTAAGATCGAAGCATTAAGATTGATGAACTGTTTCATTTTACCAAAGGCTGCTGCGGTATGAATTGAAAGCCAGCCATTTTTCTCATTCAAATTGACATCCATACCATTTTGGAGTGCAGTTTCAAGAACTTCATCAAGACCTGATTTTATTATTGTATAAATAATTTGATTGTGTTCAAACTTCAAGTAATTTGAAGTCAAATTTCAATCTTTAACTAACCAAAAACAATGGCCGCGTAAAACAAAGGGAATGCTGTTTCTTCATCCTGATTTTCAAATTTATTCGGGTCTGTAACTGACTCTACTAGTGCACTTTCTTCAACCGAATCTATAATTGAAATACTTTTAACGTTTTATTATTTATTTATATTCTTTCACGTGGTTTATGGGAATTACCGTTTTTCAATTGTTGCACTTGGAGTATATTGCCCTCACTGAAACAAAATTTACAATGAACTGATAACATATAAAATCACAATAAGCCTATTGACACGTGTCATATCAGTTTGCTTCAAAACTAAGTTGAAAACTCTTTGACTTTTTCTACTTACTCTTGATGTTGGGGAGCTAAAAAAAAATAAATGTCGATATATCTAACAATTGAACCGCTTAGAATAAAAGTAGATAATGGTAGAAAGTTAAAAAAAATCTCAATCATAAAGTGCTATGAAAATAATACTCAATCAAGAAAAAAAGTGAAAATAAAAATCGATCATAAATTGTGTTTGCTTTTTATTTTCACTCATTTTATGATTGACTTTTATTTTCACTTTTTCTCTTGATTGAGTATTATTTTTACTCATTTTATGATCGAATTTTTCCAAATGAGTGAGATTATAATGAAAATATAATTTATGATCGACTTTTATTTTCACTTTTTCCCTTGATTGAGTATTATTTTTACTCATTTTTTGATCGACTTTTATTTTTAATTTTTTCTTGATTGAGTATTATTTTCACAGAACTTTATGATTGAGATTTTTTTTAACTTTCTACCATTATCTACTTTTATTCTAAGCGGTTCAATTGTAACAATGAAATTTAGTTTTAAAAGAAAAATTGAAATACCCGCTAAAATTGCAGCAAAATAAACACTAATTACGACAAATAAAGGCCTCATTTCAAATGCACGCTATGAATTTTTTCCCAAAAACCGAACTGATTTCGTCAAATGCCAAACACAAACTAGTTTCCATTGGAAAAAAGAATATTCTTTTTATATAAACATCTTCGAATGTTCTCTGTTCAAAGTAATTTTTACACGTTTCCGTCGAACTGAACCACATAAACATTTTAATGAATTCAATGTGTTTGCTTTGAATATTGTGAATGAAATGACATGGTTTGACATCTATAATAAATGTGAAAATGATTGAGATGCGTTCGTGATTTAAGAGTTTTCCATTCGATGTGTGACGAATGTTTACAACCAGAATTCAACACGAAATAGATGTTCTAAAGAGTTTCTCTAAATTCTATGAGGAGATAAAACCGTACCCATTTAGGTTCATTACTAAAACATTTATAAATATCTCTGTTTCGGCTTGAAGAGGAACATATGTCAAGTTCACGACAGTTTTAAATAGGAAAATCGCATGATTCAAATATTTTTTTTTGCTTTTTACACGCTTTATTTCCAACAAGAAATGCACACAACATTGATTTAAACACACAACATTGTAGTGACTTGGTTTTGAATAAATGAAAATGCCAATTTATGTATGACTCTTTAAAATCTGAACGATGCTCGTAAAACCTAACTGAATAAACAGATTTTATAGCCATTTGAATACATCTGGTTTTAATTCCGCAATTGCCTGGTGTTCGTATTTGTGCATCAGCTCCATTTTCAATTAGCAATCGGACAATGTCTTCGATACCTAAAATGTTCAGCGGAAAACTTGAATTTACATCACTTATTTGAACTAATGTAATTGAATGAATACCATTTTCATTCGCATAATGAAGCGATGTTTGACCGCGATTGTCTCTAACGTTTATTTTTGCCTCATGCTGTATAAGAAATCGTACGATTCGTTGATTACCTAAAATATACATTGAAACTGAAAAAAATGTGAACATGTGATGATGTGATGTACCATTTATTGATGCGTGATGGGCACCCTGCCATTTACATCTATAACATTTGCATTCGTGCCATTTTTAAGCAAATCTTGTACTGTTTTTTCCTGACCTATTTGCATACAAATGTTCGGTTTTTTATTTTAATGGGCAAGTTAACGGTTAAATCATATTTCCTTTACCTTTGTTTGCAGCACGAAGAAGTTGGATTTCTTCATTTGATCTATATGAGAAATGGAAAATCTATTTGCTAAGTATACATTTTTAATGCTCCCACATTTACTTATAATACTCTAATCAGGAAAAAGGCTCAAAATGAAATTATTTATAATTAATTTCAATGCAATTTCTTGAACCATACAACTCACCATTTAACGTTAAAATCGATATTAAAATAAGCAGAATAATGAAGGTATTCATCTTTCACTGTTTATTAAACGAATAAAATATATATATCGTACACCAACAGATTACAATGCACTACTGATGGTATAAACTAAGAAAAAAATTGATTTCTTTCACAATTTTCTAGTGTTTGCTATTTTAACTCTTTTGTGAAAACAATATCATTGAAAATAAATGATGAATCAAAATCGAACTCTTATCAGTAGGTAACAGTTTTGACGGATCTAAATATAAATTGTTCAAACAATCGGTGCATTTGCTAATCAGTGATATAGTTATATCAATAAAGGCACTGTAATGCAATAGATTTGATTAAAATTACCTTCAATGGCATTATTCCAACCAAATATAACCTTCGATAACGCGCTATTTACCTTCTTCATTAAATTCAAAAAATAGAAAAAAAGATATTTTGAATGAAAGACGTTCTTTTGGTCAATTTTTTTTTATCATTAAAAATGAATTCTAATTTAAACTCTTAAAGCCCATTCTTTTTCTTTGAGTGACTCGAATTTTTGCAGAAAATAGTAGCTTGTTTTATACGATTCCCAGACAGGGCTGTAATTTTCACTCTGTCAGTGCACGCACAAAGTAGTGTGCACTCACATTCTATGTGCGTCGCACACAATGCTTGTATTTTGAATGTGCACGCACACTTAATCACAAGTTTGACATTTTTGGCGGTTGGCAAATTTGTAACTAAGTGTGCGTGCACATTCAAAATACAAGCATTGTGTGCGATGTGCACAGAAAGAAAAAATGTGGTATTTTTAATTCAATTTTGGTAGATTTAATACAAAATCAACCAACAACGAATTAAATTTACCATTTTTGACATCTCTGACGCATATTTTTCAAAAGTGACTATTTGTTGAATAAGTTTTACGGAATGCTTCATTACATTTACCAAATTTTCGAAACCACAGATGATGCTAGCCCATGAATTTAGTGAATGTAATGAAGCAATTGGTAAAACTTATTCAACTAATAGTCTCTTTTGAAAAATATGCCTCAGAGATGTCAAAAATGGTAAATTTAATTCGTTGTTAGTTGATTTTACATTAAATCTACCAATATTGAATTAAAAATACCACATTTTTTCTCTCTGTGTGAAGTGAAAATTACAGCCCTGTTCCCAGACGGCTAACACCAAATGAAACCAATGTGTTAAGCCATTACCTAGTTGCTTGATGTAGATCCAAACTCGAATAGGCGCATCATAAAAATAGTTGCTATAATTAGTCTGTCTTAATGATTTCAAAATGGCTTCTTGTTGTTGTTTTTACATTTTATTTGTTGAAGTAAAATAGCTTCAAATCTTTAAAAGAAATTCTCTTAAAATTCAGAAAACACCTTGTGAAATTCAAGTGAATTCAATTTTATACTTTAGTTACCACAATATTTAGATGTTTTGTGCATTTTGTTAATTTTTTGCAAGTTGTGCCTTATATTAAATTGTTTGTGTTTCAAAAATAAAACCGAAATCTTCCCTTTAAATTTTCGCCAAGAATCATATCACTAGAAGCTGTTCGAAAATGTCGGCCAATGGTTGGATGCAAGAACTGGACCAAATGTTGACGAATATTGAACGCCAAGCGATATCTTCACTACGAAATATTAATAACTATTTCGAACAATCAGGTCAATTGTTCCACCAAAAACATCAGAGATATTGTCTAAAGCGTTCAACTGAGAGGTAATTCATCCATGAATTTTGTATTATTGTGCCGTTCATTATATTATTATCATTATCTTCCTTCCTATTCTTTAGATTAAATGAAGTTTACTCCAGATTTGAATGTGAATATTCGTATATTAAACGTGAAAGTAGAAGTGTCGCTCCTATTTCAAACGAAAATAACAACTCAAATGCAATTATTGAAATCAGCGATGATGAAGATTCGGATGAAAGGCCTAGCACCAGTTCAGAACCATCCAGAGAGACTGCTTTTCGAAATGTTCAGGCAATTGGCGGGGAGATATCCAATGTGGAAACGAAAGAAGAAGAAGAAGAAGAAGTGGAAAATGATGAGATTCCCATAGTTCGTATTCCGGCCAATCAACTGACGCGTGTATATAAGATAGAGTCAAACTGCTCTGAACGTGTCAAAATTGAGAGTGACGAAGATCATAACAAAGAAAACATTGCAAATGGAGCGAAGCGTGCATGATCGAATTCGGTGAATATTTTAAATAAATTTTATGAGAACAACGATACAAATGTATGTGAACCACACGGAAAGAAATCACGAGTATCTCAGGGAAGAGTTGAATCGAAAGATGCGCAAAACAAACGCAGCAAGCTAGAGAGCAATGAAGATGATGATGATGATGTGGTGGACAAATCAAAAGAAAAAAAAACCAACATAGAAAAAGAGGTCAGTGAGAGAGTGGCTAGTTTGTGCCGTTCGGCTTATTTGATTTATACGCTCATTGCTTAATATATTCAATTGTTATATATTTTTCATTTATGACTATATTTTTTAAAGAGTTTATGGAATATATTTTATTGATTTTAAATCCATTTACAAATTATAGGAACCAAATAATAATAAACTGACGAAAAAAGCGACGAAAATATACATATGTAACCTTGATTGTAAAGAGGTTTTCAACCATAAAGGTTCATTTGAAAAGCACATAAAACGCAAAACATGCCGGGGGAAAAGCATCTTGTGCAATATATGTGGAAGAGCATTTTCTTCGAAGCGGTATTTAAATGGACATCAACGAAATTCAAATGGCGAAAGGTGTATAAAGAAACACCTTCCGGTCAATGCCACCATAGCCGAGACTTCTGCATCTGACAATGCCACATCAAACCATCAAGACAAAGAAGAAGAAGAAAAAGGAGAAGAAGAAGAAGAAGACAAAGGAGAAGCAAGTGCGACATCGCCATCAACTGTTATTATTGGTGAACCATCGAATACCACCAACGAAATGCATTGAGCATTATCATCACTCGCTAGCAACAACACCACCACCACCACCACCCGAAGAAGAGAATGTTGGCCCCACTTTCAATTAGCAATCGGACAATGTCTTTGAAACCCAAAATGTTATCCACTCATGTTGAATGAATTGATGAAAACGAAATCGATTGACGAAATTCAAATCAAACCTTTCCTACAAGCGAGCTGAAAAGATCAAGTATCGCTTAATTACCATACTTAAATCGATTCCCTAATTTCAATAACATTTTTATCGAAAAAAAGTGCACATTTTTTAAATTTACCATCAATGGCGTTTCATAATAGAGCGTTTTGCTCTCAATGTCCACATCATTTTCAATCAGCAAATTCACAATATTATAATGACCTTTAAAAAAAGGCATTTTGCCATTTTAATACTAACTTCTCACGAAGCAAAAAAACACATTGCAAAAACTCTACTTTTTAAATTTACCTTTTTGAATGGCCATTGTGAGTGCTATAATTAATATAATTAAAAAAAAAATTTAAATACTCTAAATAAAAATAAAATCTTAACCTGTTCTGCCACTGGAAAGTGATGCATTCACATTTGCTCCATGTTCAATCAAAATTCCACTAACATTTTGGTGACCTTTCCTACAAGCAAGCTTTACGATTCCTTTATCTCAATGACATTTTTATCGAAAAAAAGGGCACAATTTTCAAATTTACCATCAAACTCGTTTCACCAATGTCATTTTTACTGTTAACATCCGCACCGTAATTAATCAATAGCACAACAATATTTTCATGGCCTTCACAAGCGGCCAAATGAAGAGCGGTTCCAAATGGTTTAAAATAAAAGAACTCCTCTCTATCTGAACATTTATAGCGAAAATAAATCGTCAACATTTTTAAGTGTCATAATTATAATTTATACCTCCTTTTGCAGCGGATGTTATTATCATTGCCAATATCAGCACCGCGTTCAATGAGCAAACTGATCTCTTTTATGTAACCTTTAAACGAAATATTACAGCCACTTAAAATAATTCAACTCACATAGTCAATTGAATACCTTTTAAAGCTTTTCTGCCGCCGTGCACCTTATCGTTGATGTTTGCGTCATTTTCAAGAAGACGTTTAGTAACATTTAAATGACCTATTAAATTCGAGATAAGAATGAATAATTTTCATTCATTTTTTGGGAGGGCTCATACATTCACTGGCGGCCAGAGTGGTGTGTACATTGTATATTCGTCATTAAGTGATGCACCATATTCAATGAGTAATTTGACCAATGAGTCATGAATTAACCTTCGAATGAATTAAAATATGAAATATTTTCTTTGATAAATCTAAATCATTTTCAATGAAATAATTCCCTCCCCTCTCAATTTAAGTCACCTGCGTAAGCATCAAAATGAATGCTAGAAGTGCGATCAAGATGAATTGGTAAATTATAGGTCGTTTCATTATCCATACTTAAACCTAGATTAATTAAAGAAATATTGAATAAATCGACAACGAGCACTTGAATTTCATTCATGATTTTACGTATTGAAGCATTAACAACGATTGTATTATTTATTTCAGCGCCGTAGTCAAGGTGAATTTTGCTTATTTTCTCATAACCTATATATGAACATTAAATGTTAATCTGGAATTTGGAACTGGATAAAATTGACCGAACACGCAATAAATGGCATACCTTTTATGGATGCTAACATCAGCGGCGGTATGAGCCCTCCCAGCGGCGTCGTTTCATAGTTATTTTCAATATCGGTGCCATTTTCAATGAGCCATTGAACTACATTTTTATTCCCGGCAAATACTGCGTAATATTTTTATTCCAAGATCGTCGTCGGTATTGACATTTGCATCGTTTTCTAATAGAATTCGCACCACGTCCTCGTGACCTAAATAAATGAACCAATTTCGAGACACACATTCTAAACTTGGGTAATTCTTTTTAGATAATCACCTTGAGAAATGGCAAAAATGAGAGTGCCGGTGCTACTCCGGTCTTTTCATATTTCTTTTCGATATCTGCACCATGTTTTATAAGCATTGTTACAATGGACGCGTATCCTGAAAATTGCAACGAATGAATATGATTTATGTGCAAAATCTCTGCTTAAATTCATACAAATTCAAATGTTTACCCTTTTTTGCTGCATAATGCAAACATGTTTTGCCTTGAGAATCTAGTGCATTCACATCAATACGTGGGTTTACAAGTAAATTTCGTACATTCTTCTCCTGTCCTAATTTTTTTTAAAAACCATCCAACTGAATACATGAGTTTAATTGGGATTTAACTGATTTACCTTCTTTGGCGGCCAAAATCATGAGGATCGTCCTGAGAAGAAGCTAAAATACATTAAAAAAAAAAAATGAAAAATTAAAATAAATATATTCCAATACCTGTAACAATTACAGCAACACAAATTGCCAAACACAGACTGAATTAATCCGAACAGTTGTGCAATTTGTGTTTGCTCCAATCGATAGAAAATAACTTAATTGAAAGAATTAATTCAGGAACAAATAACAACAAGAAAAAAAAAATGTAATAAAGTTGATTCAATTTAAATTGCAGCATCAAGTTCATCTTTTATGAGAATTATTTCAAGGCAACATAGATTTTTCTCGACTTGTTTTCTAAATTATGTGAAATATTATATCTATCATACTAACAATATGACGTTGAGAACTAATTGAATCGAATGTGTGCCACAACACAGTGAGTTACAGCGAGAAATGAAAACGATACGACCGAGTAATTCGGAGGCATTTTAATTCCAGAAGAAATAAATCGCATAAAGTTCTACCATTTACTGAATGAAATCAAATTAATGGCGTTCCATAATTCTATAGAGTCTCAAATATGTGAATGGCATTCGTTAAAAGTACTGTTCTCATCACAACGTACTGTGCTCTCATTATAATGTCGGCGATGTTTACTTTAAAGATAACGTGTGCGTTTTGTTTTCTCATTTGGTTTAATGCGTCTTAAAATCTGTCATCTTATCGTGCGATCGAATCGATGTGTTTGCTCCGACTTGGTGAGAGAAAATTGGCAAACGTTCACACGCAGGTCAGAAAAAGAGTAAATAAAGCCGATGCTGAAATCGGAAGAAGACATCAATGTGTTATTGTTATTGCGTTGATGGTGATCGATTACAAAACAAGAGACAGAGAGAGAGAGAGAGAGAGAGAGAGAGAGAGAGAGAGAAAATGACAACAAAACAAAATTAGATTGCATTAGATAAAATTGTATGGGGAATGGATTTGTGTCCGCAAAACCCCGTTTAGCTGGTCTTTCAATCGCATCGAAGATGCCAAATTCAATCAGTCGAATTTATGACAAAAGTCTTCAAACCGATGTTCACATCGATAAGGTAAATTAAAAGTGATTTGCGCCTTTCGCTAAAAGAGTAAATGGAAGCATCAATTCTTATCGGATAAATTACATGAAAATGAAAGCCGGAAAAAGAAAAGATAGAGTTACGTTAGTCATTTTATGTTTATGCGTTCGTGTACCATATTGCAATACAATAAAAATGACACAATACCGTTAGCATTTGAGACGTCTTTTGGTCTTTGCCGAACACACATTCCGACTGTACACAAAGACGCCGATGTTTTGTCTCGGTGAGAAAAAAGCAGCTTTGTTTACGGCGCAAAAAAAGAGTACTTGTTTCCTTAAGATAGTAGCGGCTGGTTGTTGTTGAGCGGATTTGAAATGGAAGAGGAAATGGTTTTTATACACAGATCCTAGCACAGATCGATGTCATCTTTGTTTATGCGACGCTCCTTTTGTATATACATTGACGCCATCAGATTTCCATAAACGAATGAATACATTAACATTATTGCGTTGGATGGATTTTTTTTTTGTGTTGAACGAGGAGAATGTTCTTTATAATTATGCCGTGAATAGAACATTATTTTGTGTTTTTACTCTTTTCGAACAGTTTTATCTTCTTTTTTGTATTGTTCTCTTTGGCAATTTCACCAAATTATCTCTTATAGAATAGAAAGTATTTTCTCTGCTTGTTGCTTTGTCTTGATGAATAATAATGGCAAAAATTGTGGAAAATTTCAACAAAAAAAGACGATGAAATCATTCTCATCTTTCCAGTATTCCGACTAAATATTCATTTCATCGCTTATCGTTTGCATTTTGAATCTGCATTTGACCCTCTGCAAGTATTCCCTATCTAAGACTATGATATTAACGGATTGTATCAATTCTCACCTACTCAAAATCCCGTATTAGACTCGTCTTTGCCCTTTTTTCCATTTGGATATTTAATGAAACATATTTTGTTTCTCATGCTTCTGATACAATTGTATATTGAATTCGTATTTTAATCTCTCAATTCCACCCTTATTGTTTCTATTCCATATGTTGATCTGTCAGATTGCATTCATTCCGTTAACAAATTCAAAAAAAAATTCCGATTTAGAGTGAGCACACGGTCGTTTAAACATGTAAATCGAACGAAGTAACCAAATTCGCATCACTTTGACTGAGGAGTACCGCATCGAAGTGAAAAAAAAAACGGAAGCAACAGTAAGAGAGTAAAAAAGATACCGTTAAGTTGGTTGTTGATTTGCAAAGAGGGTTCTTCTGTTGCCATGATTTTAGCTTGTTTATTCTACTGTTGTTACATATAATATATATATGTGTGTGTGTGTGTGTGTGTGTGAGTGTGTTTGCCGCTGCAAACTAAATAGTGTGTGCATTCGCATTATATTCAATTTGCCCATAATATTATTTAATTTTTTCGTCGTCATCATACATTTTAAGGGGTGAACCGAAAACACGACTCTCATGCCACAGCTTCGTTATAAATATACCACTGTTGTTGAAGTAGTATATACCAAATAACGCGCGCGTCCATGCCATTCATACAAAGGCCTGATGAAAAATAAGAGAAAGACAATGTTTGATATTATATATATTAAAAACATTGAAGTCGTCGTATTTTTCGATCCATTTGGTGCGAAATGCATTGAATGCTGCACATGAAATACGGCACATGTATCGAATAGGCGCAGTTTGTAGTGTGGAAGTGGGCTAGCTGCATGTGTGCGTGTGTTTGTTTCTGTGTGTGCACAGAACCTAGATCCAAGCCGTCTGTATTGGTTTTAGTGGTGTGACGCTATTACATATTTGGTTCGCCTCCCTTGTTTATGGTTGCCTTTGATTCAATCGCTCATCAAACAATACATACGTACAGTGGTGCAACACCAAGCAAATGCTTTGCTTTTCCTTGTTTGGTTAGCCAACCGATTTTGGATTTTCAATGGCATTCTCACTATCTGGTTTCGGTGTTTTCTTTTTTGGGGAAATCGAAGACATCTACAATCAATTAAATATAGTATGCTTTGGGAAGAAATTATTTATGTTACACACATTTTTTGTTCGGTAACTGTTTTTGCTATAATAGTTTTTTTTGTTTGAAACAAATGCTTTTATTTGATTCTTTTTCATTCGGACATTTGTTCTAGGCACACAAAAAAACGTTTGAATAAATAATAGTTTTCATTGAAACCATTTTTTATAATGTGATTGTGCAATATTCTTTCTCTAAAAAAACATTCGTCAAAATACCAAAGGCAACGAGCAACTTTTGTTTCTTTTTTTTTTCACTAAAAAATGAAATTGTGATTGAATCACTATAAATTTCGGCATTTCCTATGTATGTTCAGCGGTCACATCGATCAAATTCCGAAAAAGATTAGCCGCTTTAACAATCAAATAACGCACCGCGTCGAGATACAGAGATTGAGAAAAAAAATCTAATAAAGTTATCAAATAATATAATATTTATTTCCTCTTATGTGTTTGACGTGTTTTTTTTCTCCCAAAAATTCTATGCTGTTCACCCATTTCTATAATAACAACAATTGGTGAGCCCAATCGTAGTTCCTTTGTTGATTCACAATGAATTGTATACGCGCACAAAAAAAAAGAGATGTTCGCAGGTAATGCAAAAACTAGAAATGGGCTTGATTTTTTTTATTGTTACTAAAATGAATTGTTCAATATATGAAGAGGAATATTGAAACATTTCTATCTGATATGATGTAATAGTTTAGTTTTTTTTTTATCGCAAAATTGATGCATTGTATTGCCGACGAGTGACAAAGATGAAAAACGATATTGAACAAAAAAAAGTAGCAAAAAGTACTCTGTTCCACATTTTATTTTACATTTTATCTCGAGAAATGATCTTAAATGTAAGTAATACAGAGAGAAAATGCCGTTCCCTACATTTTATTCCAGTTTGTATCGTTTACCATGGATTACGCTATTAAACTGTGTTCCTCCCGGACTTGTCGATGCACATTGCCCCTCTCTCTCTCTCTCTCTCTCTCTTTCTCCTGGTGTATTAATAATATTGTTATTATTATGATCGTCATTATTTTTGTTATTAATACTATTAAACAGAAGCGGTTCGTCCATCGTTTGAGTTGCCCTTTGGCTTGTATTGCAGACGTGCTCTCGGTTCGGTTTCCGTCAACTGGTTAAATATACGCATTTCTCGTATATTCACTTCATTTAGACTGATTTATTGAATGTTTGTTATGGTTCATTTAAATTATTATGCACATTTGAGGCGCGCATAGCAAGCCATTCTATCTATTCTATTTTTTAAAAAATGTTGTCTATTTGTAACTTACACTCGATTGCACGAAAATCTGTGATTGCTCGAAGGGGCACTGTAATACGACAACAACTCATCGTAATCGTTCATTGTTCGACATGAGCACATAAATTATCACGCATATTTTCTAGGGTTTTTTTCATCAATCTTTCATCACATTTGCAACGAATCAATTAATCAATTTTCATATTTTTGTTCATTTTAAGAGCACATACATAATTTTTGCCCGAATCCAAATAAATAGGGCATCGTTTATTTTGTGGTGTTTTCAATAGCCCAGTTTTTCATTTGTATAATGAACACAATTTTGTTTGGCATGGTTTTTCATTTGCATTGTGTTTGCATTCGATAAAGGTGTTCATATTCGCTTGTTGCATCACTAAATCGACTGACTTGATTTGCGTAAAATTTACATGTAAAACCATGAAATGTGTAAATTAATGGTTTTGCGTGTAAAATATGCACACCACTTTGCAAACATAAAACTGGATTTTATAATGGTGTGATATAGAGTGTCACACACTGTCTCCGGATGTCATAAATTGCCTGATGATTCATGAATACATATTTTTGATGAATGATATTTATACGACGTAACATCAGCCGGATGCTGGGATCGATTCGGAATTTTATTGAATTGTACTATGTACTTCGACAAATTCCCAAAAC